TGTTTTCCTAACTTTCTCATTCTTGCTGGATAAACTGTTCTTTCCAGCTATTGACTACATGGTCCTGGTTTAAATCAAATGGCACATGGTGTATACAACAAATGATTTGCTGCATTACAGTACTGTAAACATGCCTGAAGAGACCTCTGCCCAGAGATGTTAAATCATTTCAAGCACAGCAACATTTAAAGATGGATGGTGATTCAGATTCCCCCACGAGAAAGAGCAGGCAAAAGGAAGTTTTCAGCCAAAAAACCAAGGTTTTTTTTTTAAAAAAATTGATTTATATGCCGCCCTTCTCCAGAGACTCAGGACGGCTTACAATGCGTTAAGCAATAGCCTTCATACTTTTGTATATTTATACAAAGTCAGCTTATTGCCCCCACAAACTGGGTCCTCAATTTACCCACCGTAGAAAGGAGGTGAGTCGACCTTGAGCCTGGTAAGAATTGAACTCGCAGTAATTGCAGGCAGCTGGATGTTAAATGCTGCCTTAGGAGGCATTAGCCTCCTACGCCACTCAGGCTCCTCATGTGGCCACTCATTTCATGCAGTTAACCTTTCAGCCCCGAAGAGTTTAAACTAATGCCCACATTACTTAAGCCCCAGCCCTCTCCCCAGGGATGCAATGCTACTGGTACAGGCCGGTTCGCCCGACTGGTACTAATTCACCAAACTGTGACTGGTTCACCGAACCGGTAGTAAAAATGCTTTAAAAAGTTTTTTAAAAGTTCCGACAATGGTTCGGCACAGCTGATCGTCTGAATTTTTTTTGTTACTTTTTTAAAGCATTGTTTTTACTACAATAGGTAATAATAGGTAGTAGTGGGCAATAGGTAGTAAAAAAAATGCTTGAAAAAGCATTTTAAAAAATGCTTTAAAAAAGTAAAAAAAAAAAGGTTCCAACAATCACCTGTCACAATCAGCTGTGCCACACGATCCTCGGAACTTTTTTTTTTACCTTCTAAAGCATTTTTTATTACCTATTTGGGGGAAGTCCTTTTTTTGCTCCCAGGAGGCTTCCCTGGGATGGGAGGTGCTGCGAAAGAAAGAAAGAAAGAAAGAAAGAAAGAAAGAAAGAAAGAAAGAAAGAAAGAAAGAAAGAAAGAAAGAAGAAAGAAGAAAGAAGAAAGAAAGAAAGAAAGAAAGAAAGAAAGAAAGAAAGAAAGAAAGAAAGATAGATAGATAGATAGATAAAGGAAGGGAGGGGAAAAGGAGAGGAAGGAAGGACCTCAAACCTGGCACTAGGCGCAGCTTCAGAGGATACCATGAAAGAGCACAGCAATCAATCCAGGGCTAGAAGGGACCTGGAGGTCATCTAGTCCACCACCACCCCGCTCCAGCAGGACATTGTTAAAGTGAGTTTCTGTCTTTTCACCATCCTAGTCACATGACTACATAGCCATACCCACCCAGTCACATGATCCCCTCACTAAGCCACACCCACCAAACCACACCCACAGAACCGGTAGGAAAAATTTTGAGATTTCATCACTGCTTCTCCCCTTTGCTACTATTCTAGAAAAATTGAGCAGGGAAATCATTTGTCTTCCTAGCTTTTATTCAATGCTTCCCCTCATGTGCTCTTAGTCATCTCTTTGCGTAGCCCCAAAAAATAAAAGAATTTTCTACTGTTTCTTATTCCAGGGTTTTCCAGGGTTCACTCCGATCGCACATCCATCATTTTGTTCAGTTCTTGGGAATGATGGGATGCTTGTGTATTTAAGGACTGATTGAGAAATGCCTAGCCGAAGACTGAGACAGGCAGGGGACAAGGATTGCAAAATTCATTTAGCTCTGCTTCCTCTCTTGTTGCCAGAGCACAGCCACCAAGGCATCCAGAGAAATTATTAATACAGAGTTAAGGCTAAGGACATGGTGGCTCAGCAGCTAAGAAGCTGAGCTTGTCGATTGAAAGGTCAGCAGTTCAGCAGTTCAGCGGTTCGAATCCCTGGTGCCGCATAATGGGGTGAGCTCCCGTTACTTGTCCCAGCTTCTGCCAACCTAGCAGTTCGAAAGCACGTAAAAAAAATGCAAGTAGAAAAATAGGGACCACCTTTGGCGGGAAGGTAACAGCGTTCCATGCGCCTTTTGCATTTAGTCATGATGGCCACATGACCACGGAGACGTCTTCAGGCAGCGCTGGCTCTTCGGCTTTGAAACGGAGGTGAGCACCGCCCCCTAGAGTCGGGAACAACTAGCACATATGTGCGAGGGGAACCTTTACCTTAAGGCTTAGATATGGAGCCCAGGAGCCCAAAAGTAAAGACTTGCAGCCCAAATTTTGTTCAGTTCAAACCGACACATGCGTTTGTACCTCTTTTAGCTCAAGAGCTCCAGGTTTTAGGTACATTCCCCAGATTTCTTTCTCATCTATGGTGAAGGACCATGGAAAAAAAGCCACTCACTATGTCTCCATCCTATGTTCAGTTAAGGAAATCCAGCTTGCTTTGGCTCCTGATTTCAATGACTAGTTGCTCTTACTATTAAGAAGTTTTTTTCCCCTAACATTTAATCAGGAACGGCTTTCCTGTAACTTGATTATTCTTTGCTATATAGTGGGACATTAGATAACATGAATTTCTTTTATGTAATTATTATTATTATGAGCCATGGAGCCACAGTGACACAGTGGTTAGTATGCAGTACTGCAAGCTACTTCTGCTGGCTGCCGGCTGCCTGCAATTTGGCAGTTCAAATCTCACCAGGCTCAAGGTTGACTCAACCTCCCATCCTTCCGAAGTGGGTGAAATGAGGACCCAGATTGCTGGGAACAATACGCTGACTCTGTAAACCGCTTAGAGACGGCTGTAAAGCACTGTGAAGCGGTATATAAGTCTAAGTGCTATTGCTATTATTCAGGTCTTGGAAAATAGCACTTAGCACTTGGACTTATATGCCACTTTACAGTGCTTTACTAAGTGGTTTACAGAGTCAGCAAGATGCTATTTTATCTCCTTGGAAAGCCTTCTCTCCAAATGATGCCTAACCCGTTCGTTCAATCTGCCATTGAATTTTTACTCTTTTATTCCTCCTTATTGTCTTTCTGCTTATTCATGTTTGTCTGAATTCTGGAGTGGTATAAAAAAACCCAAATATTGGAAGGAAATCACGCATACAGGAGTCATGGGGGGGGGGCATGGGGGAAGCACAGTTTGTCTAATTCAGAAGTCTTCAAACATGGCAGTTTTAAGACTTGTGGACTTCAACTCCCAGAATTCTCCAGCCAGCTATACTATGCTGGCTGGAGAATTCTGGGAGTTGAAGTCCATAAAGTCTTAAAGCTGCCATGTTTGAAGACCTCTGGTCTAATTTCTGTCCATCATGCAGTTATGGGGTCACAAATGGACACAATGAAGTCAAATTTGTTATTTCTTTCATCTCACGTGGCTTGGAAGAAACCAGTAACAAGATTAAGCAGAAATCTGCCATAACAGTAGACGTGAAGAAAAGTAAGATGTTCTTTTTTGCTCGGGCTGTTAAATGTCATACTCGCTCCGAAGACTTAGATGTGAATTTCTCTGCCAAGACTATACCACACACAAAGCACTCCTATTTATAGACACTAAAGGCAGAAAAAAAATTAACAAGTTAAGTATTGGGAAGCTATTCGGTTCAGGTAGTCCTCGACTTACAGCCACAATTGAGCCCAAAATTGATGTTGTTCAGTGAGAAGTTTGTTAAAGGGAGTTTGACCCCATTTTGCAAACTTTTTTTTTTTTGCCAGATTTGTTAAGTGAGTCACTGAAGTTATTAAATTAGTCACACGGTTGTTAAGTGAATCTGGCTACCCCGTTGACTTTGCTCGTCAGAAGGTCGCAAAAGGGGATCAGATGACTCCGGGACACAGGAAACCGTCATAAATGTGAGTCAGTTGTCAAGCATCTGAATCAGGGGTGAAATCTACTTACCTTCCCTACCGGTTCAGAAGTGCGAATGCCATCATTACATCTGATTTTTGACCCTCTGTGCATGGACAGAAGGCTTTACGCACATGCAGAGGGTTAAAAACCAGGAAGTAATGGTGTCCGGGTGGCTGGGCGGAGCCTTGTGCTGCCGCCGCTACCAGTTCGCTGAACCATGTGCCACCACCACTATCAGTTTGCGCGAACCGGACAGAACCGGCAGGATTTCACCACTGATCCGAATGTAAATTGCGTGAGCAAAATGAAACAAACCAAATGTTTAAAAGCTACAGTATTTATGTCGTTCCTTACCAAGCACTTCTAAATTATATTAAAGTAACCAAAATATCTTTACAATCCCTAAGGAGGCATGTCAGAACGTTTGAGCGCCCCTTAATGTTTGGAAATTGAAAGTTGAAAAATTTGACATGCCCTAAACTATGGGGATGCTACTACTGTCTATAATTGTGAAAAATGGTTGCCACTTCAGTCACTAAATGAACTTTTGTAAGTCGAGGACTATCCGTACATACATGGACGCAGGATGCAGCTGTTGTAATAGTGAAGAGTTCAAACATTTGGAACTGGAGAAACAGAAGTTCAGCTCCTGGACTTCACCTGATGACTTTTAGCCTGCCTATTTATTTATTTATTTATTTATGGCTAAGGATGAGCTTGTCAATCGAAAGGTCGGCAGATCAGAGTTTGTTCCATCTCTTCCAGAAGAAGACTGATAACTGTGGAAATTCTTTTGTCACATGGGGAGGGGGAAGAGAATTTAACACCCTCCTCATATCACAGTTGCGACCCTCAATTCTCTCCCTCCAAACCATCCATTTTGAATAAACAAGAGATCAAGCTACCTTCAACCAGTGGTGGGTTGCCCCCGGTTCGGACCGGTTCGCAAGAACCGGTATTAAAAACCGGCGGGAGGCCCCGCGCCCCCCCAGCCCGGATGTTGTCATCGGCAATCTGCACATGCGCAGAAGCGATCTCATTGTGAACCGGTAGTAAAGGTAAGTAGAACCCACCCCTGCCTTCAAAGTACTTTGGTACAATTGTCTAAGGAGCATGGAATTGTCCACACAAAGCCAGTAAAAGTTGGTTATTTTATTGGAGAATTTTTTTAAAGCTGTTCTAATAAAGCTGGCATTACAACAGCGGATGTAATTGCTGGGGCAATTTCAACTAAGTTAACATAAGCAGTACATTAAGCAGAAGAGTTGGGTTGTCAGTTGCTCCATTCTCACATAGCCCAAAGCCAGAATGTGGTTTTGTGAATTGCAGTGAATCCAGTCCTGGGGTTTTGTCAAGCCGTGATTCCTGGCTTAGTGTATCCATTGTGATTTTGCAATCTTTGCCATAGCTAAGTGAGATATAAGATTTCAGCCTTTGGAATTGCTGAGCTGTGTGTTTAGGCTGCTGTGTGAGGTCATCTAACGGTGACATAGATAGCAAATCAAAAATGTCTACGGAGATTCTCAATCCTCCAGGTCATGGTTGTCCCAAATATGCTTTACCAAAAGGCAACTGGACTTCCTTGGATTTTTTTTTCCTTTGAAAATGTTTTGCTTCTCATCCAGGAAGCGAAGAAGCTTCTTGGATGCGAAGCAAAATGTTTTCAAAGAAAAAAAACCCCAAGAAAATCCATCTACTTTTTGGAAAAGCACGCTTGGGATAGCAATTCATACTTAACAAATCCTAGTTTAGCGTAATGAGCAAACCCACTCACTAGCTTAGTCTTTCTTGACAGCAGAGCTATAGAGTCTTGCGAAGTGCGCCCTCAAGTAGGTGGTTTCCAGGCTGGACCGGAACAGCCCTTCGCTCCATCTTCTGCTGCTGGACCCCTCTTTGTAAGATCTCCGGCCCATAGGAGACTCAGCTTCGAAAGATGGGCTTTGATGAGGGGTGAGGGGCTCATCGAGATTGAGGAAGGGAAGAGGATAATGTCCCCGACTAGACCGTCTTTCTTGCAGCTTCTTGCTCTCAGGAGTAACAAACTGGACATCATCTTGTTCTTGGCAAGACTCTGGAGGACTCATCACCATTGTTTCCTCTTCTTTCATCAAAACCCTTGGGAAGGTGAACTAGTGAGTGGGAAATGGAAGAGAGCGAGAGGGAGGGAGGGAGAAAGAGAGGGAGAAAGAGAGGGAGAGAGAGGGAGAAAGAGAGGGAGAGGGAGAAGGAGAGAGGGAGAGGGAGAGGGGGGAGAGAGAGGGGGAGAGAGAAGGAGAGAGAGAAAGAGAGAGAGAGGGAGAGAGAGAGAATTATTTTCTCTTCCCAAAATCTATGTTTTCCACCCAACTTGAGGTCATACTATCAATAACATTGACATTTCCGGGACTTTGATACAATTCAAGATTCTTTGCTTTTTTGCCCTTTGGGAAAGTTGTTTTCTATTCTTGGTTGGTAGGGAGTTCAAAGAATGAGTGGCCTCTGCAAATTTGCTTGTCTGGATTTCCCCTGAGTGTTTCCTTTGGGAAAAGAAAGAAAGAAGAATGGCTGATTTTGCTCAATCTGCTGGACTAAAATTGTATACATTGTGGGAACTTAACTGGTAAGGTATGTTACAGTCAATCAGACCATCGTGCTGCGTCAATCACTTTCTTTAAGCCTCTCGGGCATAACACAGGCGTTGTACTTGGTTCCTCTTCAACAAAGATGTAGCATGTGGTGGGAACTCAGCCACCAACTGCCAAACTCAGTCAAAAATAGCTGCTGTTAATAGCTGTTGGGGGTGTCAGCTGCTTAAGCTAACTTGCTTTTCTGCTATAGTCTAGGACCATGACGGCGAACCTATGGCATGCATGCCACAAGTGGCACACGGAGCCATCTCTGTGGGCACGTGAGCCATTGCCCTAGGTCAGCTCCACCGTGCATGCATATGCACCTCCTGCCGGCCAGCTGATTTTCAGCTGGCCCCACCCACGCTGCCCCTCCCCTCCCAGGAGTCTCCACGCAGCCTGTTTTGGATGCCAGGTAAGTACAGAGCTCGCACGGAGACTCTGGGAGGGCGAAAAATGGGCCTCCCAGAAGTCCAGAAATGGGTTGATTCCGGCCTCCAGAGGGCCTTAAATTCTAGGTGAGATTCCTTCCTTAGCAGCCAGATGGAAAAAAGGAAAGAAATTGTCACAACGAGAAAAAAAACAAGTAGCAGAATGCATTCTATTCTATTCTATTCTATTCTATTCTATTCTATTCTATTCTAGTCTAGTCTAGTCTAGTCTAGTCTAGTCTAGTCTAGTCTAGTCCAGTCCAGTCCAGTCCAGTCCATTCATTGTCCTATTCTATTCTATTTTAGTCTAGTCCAGTCCAGTCCATTCCATTCCATTCCATTCCAATTCTTTTCTTTTCTTTTCATTATTTCATTTCATTTCCAAGGTTTCATAAAGAAGATGCTAGAGACCAAAACCAAAAAAGGGCTTCCCCATTGAGCTACTGGCCTCTCCCACTTCAGAATGTAGGAAAGTTCTTCTTCACAGCAGGTTGGAATAGAATACGAGTCCATCTTGTTCTGTCTTCCTTGCCAGAAATGGCTGAGCAGATGCATCCAGGAAGTTCCTAAGCTAGAACGGGACGAGCCCTTCTCTTCCACTCTCCCCTTTTAGACACGGACACGAAGAACACAATGCCTACGATTCAGAAGGTGGCATTCAGCCATGCAAGCTGTTCTCTTTGCATCTGTCGAGTCCCTTTTTCAAGTCAGCCCCGTCGGTGGCCACATCTTACAATTAATTATGCGTTGATTAAAATCACATCCTTTTAACTCAGTCTCAAAATCTCTCGGGTTTTGGCTCCCATGGATCAAATTCAAGAAACATACAAAATCCAGTTCTTTCTTCCTTCCTTCCTTCTCTATTCCTTCCTTCCTTCCTTCCTTCCCTGTTCCTTCCTTCTGTTCCTTCCTTCCTTCCTTCCTTCTTCCTTCCTTCCTTCTCTATTCCTTCCTTCTCTGTTCCTTTCTTCCTTCTCTATTCCTTTCTTCTCTGTTCCTTCCTTCCTTCCTTCCTTCTCTGCTCCTTCCTTCTCTGTTCCTTCCTTCTCTGTTCCTTCCTTCTCTGTTCCTTCCTTCCTTCCTTCCTTCCTTCCTTCCTTCCTTCCTTCCTTCCTTCCTTCCTTCTCTATTCCTTCCTTCCTTCCTTCCTTCCTTCCTTCCTTCTCTGTTCCTTCCTTCCTTCTCTGTTCCTTCCTTCCTTCTCTATTCCTTCCTCTGTTTCTTCCTTCCTTCCTTCCTTCCTTCCTTCCTTCCTTCTTTCTCTATTCCTTCCTTCTCTGTTCCTTCCTTCCTTCTCTGTTCCTTCCTTCCTTCTCTCTTCCTTCCTCTGTTTCTTCCTTCCTTCCTTCCTTCCTTCCTTCCTTCCTTCCTTCCTTCCTTCTCTATTCCTTCCTTCTCTGTTCCTTCCTTCCTTCCTTCCTTTCTTCCTTCCTTCCTTCCTTCTCTATTCCTTCTTTCTCTGTTTCTTCCTTCTCTGTTCCTTCCTTCCTTCCTCTGTCCCTCCCTCCCTCCATCTCTCTCTGTGTTTGTATGTTTACACATTTTATCTTCCCGTTTAAAATCAGTAGTCCCAATGGACTTTGAGAAAGATGTTAATCAAATCCATGAATTACTGTAGAGCCAGTTAAAAATAAAACAGCCTTTTCACCTTCACCTCCAAATTAATGTCCCAGAGATGGAAAAGGGATCTTTGCTAGAGATTAGACTCTCAAAACAGGAGGCAGCTGAGTTAGAACTTGAAACGCCATTATTTTCCTTCAAAAAAGAACCGAGCCAAATGCCAAACCTCTTTCTGCAGGGAAAACAAAACCCATAATGGGGAAAGAGGCGCATAGTTTGAAAGGAGGACCTATTATTGGTTTCTAAGAGGTAGATTTTTTTAGTCAGGACTTGTCCTGATTTCTGAACCAAGAATCCAGACTTATTTTGTCTGCTCAGGAAATGAATAGTGGCTCATGAAATGAAATGCAGAGAATCTAGGAAATAGCTGAGCCAGGATTATTATGTTGTCCGTCGGCCAAAAGGATCCAAACCTCACTAAAATCCTAGTTTGGCCTTTTTAGATAAATGCAAACTTTTTTATTATTATTATTTGTTGAATACTGCCCAACTTGCTCGCATTAAGTGTAATGTGTACAATTAAAACATAAAACATTCTCAGCGTTCCTGTCGCCCATCTCCTCCCACTTATGACTGTATGACGGTAACTTTGTTGCTTGTATATAAATCCTTACGATTTATACTGATTGTTTCCTAGTATGATTCGATTGCTTCTTTGTAGCCTATGACTATCATTAAGTGTTGTACCTTATGATTCTTGACGAATGTATCTTTTCTTTTTATGTACACTGAGAGCATATGCACCAAAGACAAATTCCTTGTGT